GTCTGTAAAGGTCAGTATGTGTGAAAATTTATTTTATAGACCATAAGTGCTTTATTAATTTTTATTGCGCTTTTAATTACAAATCGAGGATGCAAATCACAAACAAGCAATCAACTATGGTAAATTTTTCAGTTTTGGATTTGGGCGAACTTTTATAACTGTCTCCGCAATTACACTGGTCATCACAAAATTCTTAATTGGATTCTTGAACTGAGGATGTTTGACGTAAGTTTTGCCATTGCGTATAGTCGAGGTGGAGATTGTCTAACAGATTCTTATGTCATTATCATCTTTGAAACAAATACCCTCGTCCATTAAATTTATTATAAACATGCAATTCTAGTATTTCTATATAGTTACGGCTATTCATTTTTTCCATCTACTTTTATTAGTAGACCTAGCCCTTTTCCCGAAAAACGCCCCCATACCATTATGCCTCAGCCACCATGTTTCACTGTTGGGGCAACATTTTCAATATTATAGCTGGTGCCGCACATAATTTTGAGTTGAATTTTGGACATCGAGGAGTATGTGATCATTTTTCTATAACTTTGGATACAAAAAAAAAAGATTTTTAATCCGAGAAACCTTGGCTATGATGTGAAAATGCAGTATGCCACCAGCATTACTTGGAGCAAGATTCTCGTTCATTAATATTAAACATATTGTAAACTTTTATTATTATTATATAATAAAAAAAAAGGAAATAAATAATATAAATATTAAAATTTTATTACTATATAACAAATTTGGTGCTAAAGCTTATCGTTTAACTTTTTTAAAAATGATATAAATATTTTTCGTTTTAGTTACTATATATACTATTAGTAAAAATAAATAAATTATTATTATTATTATTATTATTATTATTATTATTATTATTATTAATTAAATAAATGAGGTATGAAAAGCAAAAATGAGTTAATTTCTTTTTTTTTGGTAATTTGGATGTATATAACAAAAAAAAAGTTGATCCAAACTATTTATTGAAATTTGATTTTAAAAGTTCTTTGATTTCTTTAATATCATTTTCCAAATTTTTCACATTGTTTTGTAAGGAATTTAAATTTTCTTCAATATCCAAAGATTTCGTCAATGAATTATCCACGATATCCTTATCCTTACCCTTATCATTACTATTACTACTGCCATCATTTTTATTCTTGTTCTTAGTTTCCTTGTTGAATTCAGTATCAACGATTTCGCAAGTCCTTACTACAAATCTCATATTTTCACCAGGACGACAGGTTTTCTCATTATTATCATTGTATTTATCTCCACCATCCAGTTTAGATGAAGAAATTTTATCAACATCATTATTTTTATGCATCATTTTCTTATTCTCTTCATCTATATAAACATCATCTTTACCTTCATCACATTCATCATCATCAATAAACTCTTCATATTCAAAATCATACAAACACGAAGAAGCATCATCTCCAAGCAACAATGATTTGGATCGTTTACTATGAAACTTTTCAGTTTTCAATAACCAATTTTCTAACTCATTAGCTTTTCCAACATAATAAATATATTGTGGATTTCCTCTAGAATTACCAAATGGTTTCTCCAATGTTTCATAATCTGCCAGTAGATCTGCTCGAATTTTCAAGGTTTTTTGTTTCACATTTTGACTTGCTTCTTCAAATATACCACTAACAATAATGGTAACAATGAGGTGGTGGTATTGAAGATACGAAGATATGAGGATATTGATTTGATTAGTATTTTAAAAATCAATAGTGGTTAAAATAAAATTATTTTATAATCAATTGGAAATTTGTATGCTTACGTCATAAATGCGATTAATAAATTTTGCATTATAATTACAAGCAATAAACTTGCAACTGAAAAAAAAAAGATTTTTTTTAATAAATAAAATAAAATAAATAAAATAAGAAAAGACACATGTTTTATTTACTCACATATGCTCAATGCATCAACTGGCCAAAAATCCCATTGATCAATTTGATCCCATCTGCCTAATGGCCAAAAATAAACAGATTCAACTGATTTCCCAAAATCGAAAAAAAAATTATCATTTACATCTTTTACATTAACAATTGGTTGAATTTCTATATTGGCGTAAGGATTAGGACTTCCTTCAGGGATTGATGTGTCACTTATACCATAACCTGAGGTGTTTGGGGTTAATCCGATACTATCTGGATCGTTTAATAATATGTACCTTTTTTAATTTTGAAGATATTGAAGGAATAAAATTAGTGTTTATTATTATAGAGAAATGGGAAATTAAAAATGTAAATTTGTTTTATTATATTTACATTGCATGACCAAATCCACCAATTGCAATCAACATAAAAGCTAAAAATGGCCAAACACTTGATATTATATCAATAATAAGATTGATGAAATATGCAGGACGTGCAAAAGCTCGTAATAATAGTAGCTATATATATATATACATATGTATAAGTGAATGGAGGAAAAAAAAACAATTATAATAATTGATAATTATAACAACAAGCAACTTTATCTTTATCTTTATCATCATTATTATAACCAAAAATATAAATCACTTACAGCTTGCAGCCATATGATCAACACAACAAAAGAATTAATAATTATAGCATATCGATTTATTTTAACTAAATCAAATCTTGCTGTTAGAAAATCTTCTAGAGCTTGTGAATCATCATTTCCTCGATTTATAAAGTTAATTGATTCCGCATATGAAAATATAGCAATAATATAATTCCCTACTGAAGTAGCAAATGGAACTACAATTGATATAATATCTATGAAATTGAATAAGCTGAAATATCTTTGAATTTTCTCCTGCCTAACTTGTATGAACTCAATAGCCAACAAATAATAACTAAAATATAGCACGATTATAAACACATATGTGTTTTTGGCCGGACTATAAAAAAGATTTGCATATTCTCTTGCATCATCAGGTTTTGCAAAGCCATTATTAGAGAAAGTGGTCACACCAAGATGATATATTATAGAAATTGAGAAAGCTATGTAAAGCAGTAATTGTCTGGCATAAAAAATTTTTGCTGGAGGATATTTGTATTTGATGCATGCTTCCAACGATGGATTATCAAAGATTAATTCATTTCCACTATGTTTAATTACTTGCAAAAATGCACTAGAATCCTCCTCCTTCTTTATAACATATTCACGTGGCCAAATTAATAGTTTTAATAGTTTTAGGAACAGACTTTTTGTTTTCAGCTTTTTATCTTTTATACCATTTGGATATAGAAGAAAATCTGGTAATGGAACTACATGAACACTTATCATTTGACCTAATTCATTGCTATTTTCCATATATTTCTTTGCTTCATAACCACTGATTTTTTTTTAAAAAAAAAAAATAAAATAAATGAATATAAATAAATATAATGTAATGAGTAAGAAGAGATTTTTAAGTTTAGTTACCTTTTAAACAAATTAAAATTGGAAAATCGTTCCATTAAGGAAGGTTTTTTAGTGACGTTTTGTATTAATCTTGGCCTTGCACTTAAAGGCTGAACAGCCTCATGTTCACCTTTCCTTAATTCATATGGATCAACAAAACATTGGTCAATCAAAACTTCTTTTACTCCAAAGCATGGTTTATAAAATAATTCTTTTAGATACAGTTCTATTGTGGGGTGGGGTGGGAGAACAGGAAAAAAAGTTAAAAAAAAACCAACATTTCACCAAAAAAAAAAAAATAAACAAACACATACCTAAATTTTTACTAGATAATAATAATGGGACTGCTTGACTCACTGTAAACATCCATCCAACATTTGCTAATGCATGATTAGAATAATATTCTAATAAAAATCCCACTATCATTGTGCGGTTATGATTCTGCCCTAAATATTTAATTAAAATTTTTTTTAATTTTATTATACATATAATAAAATTTTTATAATAAAATGATTATAATGCAATAATGACCTTTAGCGCATTTGATTGCAACTTCTAAATCGGTTT